GGCATATTGGGGTTGATGAGACTTATCTCTTTGAATCTGAAGGTTTAGGTAAGTTTTGCTATTGTTATTGTTGTTTTTTCTAAATGTATATTAGGATATTTTTGTTTCCCTCACTTCTAATTTTCCTTTTCAAATAAGGAGTCAAATGGCACATCTCATTTTCCTAGAAAAATTTATACTTTATGTGGAATAATTGGAAAATCAGATTCTAAATCATATAAAGCTTTTTACTTGTAGTTAGAGAAAGAGCTTATATATCTAGAATGCCCTAAAATATTTAACTTCCTAAATAAGTTAGTTTCAGGAAGGTTCTGGACCAGTGCTTTGCTAATTAATGCTTTCATCACGAATTACTCTACCAAGTCTAAATTACTAGTAATTTCTCTTTAACTAGATAATTACAGAAATAACAGAAGGCCAAGTGATGTGTGCTTGTAGTTTTTAAATTTACCTTGTAAACAGCAGCTACCAACTTGATTATCTAAGTGGATTAATGTGTTTGGCAATTCATTGTGAAAAGTCATGCTCTACTAAAGAATTATTGACATTTTCTCATCTCTTTTAAGTCAACAGAAGCATCTGTGCACTGACTAAAGTGGTAGCTCTATGACTAAGTTTCAGACTATGTATATTTTTTCTCAAAGCGTGTGTGTGTGTATTTTTTTTTTCCCCTTCAGAATTTTTGATGTTATAGGAACAGTAGCATACCAAGGACGGGGCGGTGGGAGCACTGATAGAGCAGAGTATTTTATCACTGACCTTGTTTAGAATTGCTGGTTGATGGTGACAGTAAAAAGCAAACTGACCGTTAGTGGATTTTATTATTGCTTTAAATTCTTTACTGACAGTGCACACCTTTATGGCCTGCACACAGGGCAGGCCACTCCCACTGCCACCACTTTGGTATGCTGCTGGTATGATCAGGGGCAGATTAACCAGTAAGCAAGATACGCACGGGCTTACTTGTATTTACTTAGTAATCTGTAGTGCACAATTTCACATGGGTTTCAGGTGAAATTGTGCACTACAGATTAATAAGCACAAGTAAACCCATACATACCTTGCTTATTGGATCATCCGTTCGGTTTCATACATCTATCCAATAAATGTAGTGGATTGCTATTCACCACCCCCCTCCAGTTTACACCATGTTTTAATCCAGGCGTACTGATCTTTATTGACAAGGTAGTTGATTTAATGGCACATACAGCTTCTAGAGATCAAAGGGAAGAGGAAATGCTTTGAATTCTCTAGTTTCCAGTTTATAGCTTCTGAAAGGATATAAGATTGTTGTATATTTCTCATTCTCAGTAGGAGACATCTTCTAACTGTCCTGAAAGTCAGTATAGGACCAAATAAAGCATTGTCAATGACAGTACTTATTTCAAGGAATTAAACTGATGAGCTAATGTTTCACTTTCCAAGGTCTCAGAGATGAGCTTCTCAATTTTTTATATTTTGCTAGGAAGTCAGAGCAACTTCAAAATGCTTAAAAAAACAGGTTCAATAAAAATTTCAGGATAAATGCCTATACTGGTATGATTTTTGAACTCAAATATAGGCCTTTTTATTGTTTTAAAAAAGTACACTCTGTGCTTGGGGCATGTAATAGATAACTATTCATAAATCAAAGAGCAACTGCCATTTCCATTCGGGGAGTCAGTATACATGAAGCAATTCATCACACATTATTAGATTAGTATTCAGAAGTTTCCTGGTGTTTCTAATTTTAAGGACAGGAAGAGAAAAGCTAGACAACCCACAAATACTGTAACTGTGCATGTAGCATGAATTCTAATGATCAGTTTGTTTTCCTTAAGGAAATCTCTGTTTACTTGTACTTTATTAGGCTTAGCATTTAGGATCCTTTTTATATAAATATATACTTCACATAACATAAAATTTACCATTCTAACGTGCACACTTCACTTGTATTAGTATATTCACTATGTTGTGCAGTCATCACCACCGTCTAATTCCAGAAC